TTGAGACCGTAGGTCAAGCTAAGAAAATTACGGCCTAAAGTCTTCGTGGTACCAAACTCTATTCAAACCTTCGTTCGCCATGATATATCCGAGGACGTGATGATCGGCCTACTAGCTTTCTTGAAGGTTCTTGAGAGGTTTCCAAATCTGGAAGAACTCGGGTGATTCCGAAGGGCCAGAAGGGTCCGCAGGTTGCCGCGGCAGTGACCAATTCTCCCGCGTTTACCGGGGTCTTTCATGTGGTTGTGTGCCTCACCGGAAATCATGATATGAAAGTGTGATACAAAACACTGAAAGGTATTGGTTATGTCCCACTACGGGCTCCGAGGTCATGGTCGTAGAAGAGTCTCGAGGTCTCTCGAAGCCAGGAGCTCCTCGGCCTGACAAAGAAACTAGGCACTGAAATAGAATGTCCAAACGGTGTCTTTCGGGGGGAGCGTCTTGTGCTATCAACGTAGCGGAACTGTCATGAGAGAAGCACTGCGGCTTGCGGATCCCAATTCTTGTAAAAATCGCAAAAGTTGCTGCACAGCTGTGTATTTGGTGTGATGTCTAGATGTAAAGTCGCACAGCGGATCTGTTGTGTAACCGGTTGATATAAGCCTACTGTAATCGACGGTTTGTCAGTGTGTAAACAACAGGAGATGCCAATTTCGGATATCGACGGATGATGCCGACATTCCGAGGGATGGCTGAGGGAGTATCCGTCCTGCCAGTGCTTCTTTCTCAACCACCACCTGCGATTCCCCCTCAAGCAATGGCCATCGTTGACGACGCCCACACCCAATCTCTCAAGCACCGAGTTGATCTCTGGATGCGTTCAGCTGGAAGGAAGGCAGGAAGGAAGATCCTGAGGTAAGTTCCCAATTCGGTATTGTTTCCAAACCAGCGTGGTTGCGTCTTCACATGTGAAGCCAGTAATGACCTGGCACAGAGCAACCGACGTCGAGGTCGTTGGCAAAGCGAGTGAGCGATTGCTTTGTAGGCGACCTCAATGGACATCCGTATTGAAATGTCGATTTGTACTGTTCCCTCCGTCGGAACTGCGGGTGGATCGTGACCTCCCTGTCTTCTGACTTGGTGTACTGGCAATATAGATATATTCACAGTCCATACACAAACGAGGTATAAGATGACTGATAATCTTCTCTAGATCTCTTCGGCGTAAACGCCCTTCAAGGATCGTTATTCTGCCCTATCTTCCACCAGAAATCTGGGGACTTGTGATTCACCACGCGAGCCTTCTTTACTATGATCCTCTTGACACCTCAAACGAACTCTCTTTCTTGGAACAACACCCCCTACGGTTGGCAACCTACCGTGCAGCTATGGAGCTGAAAACAGCGATAGCCCTTGTGTCAAAGCAATGGAACGCTTTTGTCCGGATACCTCTCTATGAATTCATTTGGATCGACCGTGCTTCGCAGGCCAGAGCGTTAACCCGTACTTTATTAACGGAGGCTCGTGACGGTAATGCGACCCGATGCGCAAGTGGTGAGTATATCCGCCGCTTGCACATTGAGACACCTATTCTTGAACGCTGCTCCCCCACCGATCTGCGCGCCATCCTCGATCATGCGCCACACCTTTGTATGTACTCCGACTACCACTCCATCCAAAGAAGCCTTTTCTCGGAGACCGAGGATCCTCGTTGTACGCCCGAGGAAATCCTTAAACTCGTTGCACACCCCAAAATGCGCCGACTCAGTTGGACGAGTTACGGCGATGTACCGTTCCACATCCGCATGGGCCCACTTCTGACCAATTTGTCGACACAACTCGAGTATCTCGAGCTATCCTCGTGCTTTTCGAACGTCCGCACCGAGGTCACGGACCCGTCTCATCGGTTGGTGAAACAAGAACCCCAGATGCCGGTCTGTCTTCCTTCTCTCCGCGCGCTGAAGGTGTCGCTCGACAACAACACCTTTGCCGTCCTCGCTGAGTGGACCATGCCCCAGCTTGAGAATTTATCCGTCCTTTCTTCCGATTTCAGCTATACCGGCCCTGGATTTGCCTCCTTCCTTGAGGCACACGGTACCAAGATTCGCCAGCTTGAACTTGGCCATTGTTCAACTACTGTCGAAGGATACTACCTCACCGCTCCGCAGCACGCTTCCCAAAGCCAGTCATCTATGAGTCTGGCCGAGCGGCTCCCCAACCTGCGTGAGTTCATCTGCTCAGCCGACGCCGAGTGGCATTGGCAGTCGCCCGATTGGGTAGCCCCACACATACTCCTTCCAACTCATCCCACCGTCGAATTTATCGGCATCCGCGATCTGCATATTCGTCTTCGTAACGATCCCGATTATGCAGCAGGCGAACCCTTCTTCCCTCTCTACACCCAGATGTGTGATCTACTCAGTGTAGATCTCTTCCCCTCCCTGCGATTCATACGCGACCTCAGCGAAGAGAGTCACAAAATCAGGATGGAGAAACCGAATCCAAGAGTCACTAGATTCTGGATGAACGTTGTGGAGCGATACAAGGACAGAGGTGTGTGGGCCGAGGATTATACCGGTGTTAATATCACCCTGAACACCTTGCATCGAGCAAACCTTACGAACACCGATCCCAATTAGATGGTGTCGCTGTCTCGCTGTCTCTAACGACCTCATGTATCATCTTGCTTTGCTTTTCGCTTTCCGTATCCCATAAACTGTTATCTTAAGGTTTTATAACCGTTCCGTTCATTACTATGCTTTGCTCTCGTTTTACTTCGCTACACAATTCGAAAATACTCACACACATCCCGGCGCGACAAGCCGTTTTATTCCCTGTATCATTATTTTCCTTCTCTATTTCTTGGCACATTCACACATACCTTTTTTCATTTACCTCGCCTGCTTTCCTGGTATCTCTCGCGGTTCCCCCTGTGCACACAACATGGTTTTATGGACGGTTTCGTCCCATCATTGATACTCGATACCCTCGCATTTACACGATTGTCATGACACCCATCCAGTTTCCCATTCATATTCCTCGCATTTTCCCGCACGTACCATCTGATACGCATCTCATCTCTCTGCGTCCACGGTCACCCTCAGGCTTTTATATCATTTGTAGATACCTTTCACTTGGATTTCACCCTCATGTCAATACCGTTATTAGCTCTCCCCCCATGCATGATCTCTTTTTAAACCGGAACTTAAAAGGTACCACTTTGTTGTACTTGTATAGTAGCTATGTTGTTTCACACCTACTTAAATGGTTGGTTGTATAATACTTATTTGGAGCAATGGAGACGAATTAGCCCGCTAAAACGTGAGCCGATGCTATGTACAACATGACGAGATGGCGAGATAAATCGGAGGCAAGCCAAAAATAAGCCAGCGAAGGTTTACGGTTACTGGGGTATCAGAAAACGGCTGCACATCAGAAGCTTCCGTCCGCCTATAGCGGTAGAAACACCATGAATTTCAGAGGGTAACGGCACACTGAACCACGGTCTCCAAATCCCAACACATGCTCCCTCCTTTACGGACCGCGGAGGGTCGTCTGTAGGTGGATCCAGACGGAGCATGACGAAAACCTCTCCGCCGCTGATCACCCTGTCAACTTTCGACGCCTCGACTTTACAGCGGACGATGGCGGAGATGGGCGGACGAGAGGCGATTTGTTGAGGTTGTGAGCGTGGGGGAGTCGCGAAAACGACGGAAAGAACACGCAACGAAACCTCTGGAACTACTCGTCGCTTCGCATGACTCTGTATTTCTTTGTCCCATAAGGCAAGAGACATAGCGGACCGGGAGATGACGAGTTTTGCATTATCTGCAAGACCACCCCTGTATTCCACGATGTAGTGAGAAAACGGTACAATAAAAGGAAACCCTACAGCGGCACTTACGGAAGATACTTTTGCTGCTTTTTCTTGTTCTTGCTGGCCTTTTCTGGACTCTGCAGAAGACCTCTGCGTATCTCACGTTCGACAGGTTTCACGAAATTAGCGGCCGCTGTCTTAGCTACCATAGCCAATAAATTCAGAGACCCTTGCTCGGTAAAAGGATTCGTAGCGATGGCAGCGTTTGTTGTAGAGAGGGTCTTCATTTTCGAGCGATCGAGTCTGGACGGATTGACGGGGAAAGACGGGGGCTTAAGCGGTCTTAGACCTTTCGTCGGCTTTGGGGATGGAGGACCAGGGAGCGGCGGTGGTATGAGATTTGTTATTGGTTTAGTGAAAGACGTCATCGTAGAGGTTTGGGACCGAGGAATTGCGGGTATCAAAGACGTTAAAGGTCGGGCATTCTTAATGTTGGAGGGTCCAGCTTCCTGAGGGCCTTGGAGGGATTGTCTGGGTGGTGGTTTGAGCGTGTGTAATGGTCGTCTACTTGGTTCGATACTTTGCGGACATTTCACCGCTGTAATAGGTGTCCTGAGTGCTACGGCTCTCTTCTCAAGTGATTCAAGCTTCTTGGAGCGTATAGCGGCCGCAGTGTCGCGAGACGCTTCATCGAAAGCAGAGACAAACTGGTTCAAGGGAAATGCTTTTTGAGCGCGTTTCACAGAGGAAAACCCATCGGGTTCAAAGAAACGCGCCCTCTTTGTCGGCCGTGCGTTCTGGGGGAACATCGCATGAGTGATTTAGAACCTTGGGTTGCTGCACGCTTACCTCTGGTTGTTCCGACATCAACGGACGACGGTCCTATTGTACAAGTGCGATAGCAATGTCAGTAAGTTTAATGTCAGTAGCTTCAATGCTATTATATGCAAAGTTCAGTAGTAGTCACCACCTGTCCAAGTTTACGTCGTAGTTCCAAATCAAGTTGTGACTATCATTTCTGGGACCCCTCGGTGAATACTAATCATGGCGCTCCTTTCTCGAAAGGTTCCAGTCGGGCGCTAGGAATCACTTCAAGTTACCATGCTCTCCATCATGGTAGGTTATAGTCACACAATGGACTTTCATACCTGCCAACGCAACGATGAACATGAAAAACAATGAAAAGGAAGCTCTTTTGTCCGGGATATATTAAGGTGAGAAAAACTTTTTCGGAATAATTCACGGGCTCAAGCGGGAATTGAACCCGCGACCTCCTGCATAGAAGCCGCACATTACGGCCGGAATTACCCGAAGCAGGAATCATACTACTAGACCATTGAGCCTTCATCTTATGAGGAGACTTTTGTGCCCACCATCTCAATAATGGATATGCCAATTTATTAATAGTGGGATCAGGGTCCAACGCTTGAAGCTTATTCACCACTACCATACATCTCTTTATTCAGAACTTATACACTGCCAGACGATGGTATGGGCTTCACTATTGATGACACAATTACCATATGAAATCTGACGTTGCAGAATGGTGATATTGAAGACCTAGTACTTTCGGGGAAATTGTTCAACCCACCTTCACGCTCATCCTCACCTGTGAGATCTCGCTCTCCTTCCCCGACCTTGGCTCAGTGGCCAACAGAAGACTCTGGCTATGACTATGACTCAGACGCGGAACGCAGGAAAGCCATCGAGCGAAATGTAGGTGCGGATGCCCAGCAGGAATCCGTAGGTGTCGGTGTGCCTGGCCGAACAGGTGTAAAGGGTGTTATTCGTGATAGCAGGGAGGCTGCTGCTACTGCCCGTGCTAAACGAAACGATGAAATTAGAGCAATGAATCGAGCAATGGAAAAGGCAAGTCTGGGCGGAAAGACTTGGGGAGAAGAGGAACGCGAACGTCTCACGCGAAAAGCTTTTGAGGAAGGTCGACCTGAACCCATGGACCAGACTGCTCGCAGAGGCAGATTTGGACATCTTAGAGAAGTCGGTATGCGAGGGTACGTACAAGCAGTCGAAAGTGAGGAGAGGAACATATGGGTTGTCGTGCACATCTATGACCCTGTAAGCGGAATGCTTGGTTATTTTACTCTATCCTATTTCTGACACTGTCTACGACCAGTCACTTGACCGATGTGCCGCATTAGATGAAACTCTATCTCGTCTTGCCCGCCAATACCCTTCTGTTAAATTCCTTCGAGCGCGTGCTGGTGCGCTGGGTTTTGCATCTAAGACATCTACCAATGGACATGCCCAACGACTTTCTCGCCAACCATTTACTTTGACTCGGACACCGTCACGGAAAATTCTTGTGCCGGGGCGGTATCACGACGAAGACGATTCTGAGGAGGAAGATGACGATAACTCTGACAGCGAAAAGGACGACGGTTGGGACGATGACTCGGTGGACACTGATGTCCTTCCCACTATGCTCGTGTACAGAGGAGGCGAACTGGTCCATTCATGGGTACGAGTGGACTGGGAAGCTCAAATGGGTGTAGAGGAGCTTCTACGGAGGTGATTCACATATATATATAACTCGGTGTCAACTGATCTAATCGTTACACTTGGTGTTAGACATCATGTTCTCTCGGAACCAGGCTTCAGTTCGAGCAGCAACGGAAACTGCGGCTTGTCTTCGGATGAGGAAGACTACGACGATGGCGAGTTGATCTTCGGCGGAAGTGATGATGGTGTTTAGGCTTGCCACAGCGGATCCGATGTTGACGTGTTCTGGTTTCTGGTCTACAAAGACCTACCTTTCGGACATTGGAATTTTATCTCAGCAAGAACCTACTTGATAAACATATGTGTTGCTCTTATCTTGTCGAGTTGCTACATACTTGGTCCAGTTGGACTCTAGATTTTGGCAGGGTTTTGTCATTTGTATTTTTGTGAACAATCAATTTAGCAGATTCTATGCGGCTATTCCCACAAGACGTGGACGCTTTGGTTGCGTCTGATGAGTATGTTCCACGACGTATATATGACGATCATATAATACAAGGTTTAACTTACTATCTACTTGCCGTTCTAGTAACAAGGGGCATATTTCAGCTCAACAGTACACTTCCGCAACGTCTCCCGTGCCCATTCCACTTTGTTACCTTGGTACGCATCCTCACTTCGTCTATCATGAACGATAACAATCAATGCCAGGAACAACGTATACCAAATTCGCTTTGTCTTCTGTCTTGCAAAAATAGTGAGATTCTGGCCATACCCTTCCAGGAATGCATCACTCGGATTGAGGAACATCGTTTCCAACAAAGGATCTCCCCATAGAGCATGTGATAGTGAATATAGTGATGTAACGGGGATTTCATCTTGTGATGACGGCGAATCAAGATCGAAGTCGATGAAGATAGAATCTTCATCTCCGAGAAAGGAGATTAACGATGGGACTTCGCAATCATCGAAGAGGAAGAATCCAATGGCTCGTGAAAGATATCGTCGGAGATCTTCATAAGGGAAATCCTCCCCTGCTTCGTGGAGTTCATTAAGAAGACCTTCTAATTGCCACGTGAAGGCTTCCTGCCAACTGTATAGTTCGTCATTTGCTTGTGAGGGCAAACCGAACCAATCGTTTTGGACTTTGTCGTGAATGGATTTGTATAATGAACCCAAGCGAAGGTCAAGGAGGAGGGACTGTCGTGGTGTGAGCCTTCCTGATGATCGAGCCAGAGAGAGCGGAATTCCCTGTGGATGGGCAAGAAGTAGATATGGAAAGGGTACGATGAATGTGGAGGTATCTAGCGCGATGATTTTAGGTTGTGGTATGTCGGACTGTTGCGAGAGCAGTTGACCCAATGCGTGTTCATGCTGTAGCGAGTTAGTTTGGTACACTAGAGATTTCGTTGATGAGACGGTCTTGAGAATGTACGAAACTCCGTCTGTGAGACGGATGACATGACTCTTCGTCGGTGTTAATGCACTATGTCCAGATGTGTAAGCGGACACAGAGCTTTGAGAGCCTGTTACCGACCTGAAGCTATCGCTACTAAGCTCTTCGATATGAGCGACCCGGGAGCTAGAACCAATGTGCTTATCAACGATTGCCTGGGCATGTTGATTAGTTATAGGTGCAGCCTTTGCACCAGAGTTGGCAAGCGCGTCGAGGAGGATGGACTGCATTCCAAGATATCCTGGACACAAATAGTCAATCACGATATTTACGGAATCTTAATGACTGAGTTACGTTTCAGTAACTTGGCTTGTGCACCAGATCTTCTGTATGAGATCGTACTTGCTGATTAGATCAGTGAAATAGAAGAGAAATCTGCGATCACGTCATTGTTTGGCACTGTTATGCAGAAGCTTTAGAATTATTTCCGTAACCGGAATCGTCGGCGTCGAGCTTTCTTCTCTCTGTGGTATGTAACCTTCAGCTTCGAACTTCGAGCCTTAGGACTTCATATCTTAGGTAGCTTCATGTATTAAATAAGAGGCTTGTTATTCTTAACAGGAATATTTGGGGGTACACACACAATGGGATTTTGTACGAATACGAATACGATACTCTCGCACAGGGAAACTGTACTCTCAATAGTTTCGTCTTGGAGACGACGCAAATCACTCCTCGCTATTTTTTCAACGAAAGAAGACCTGGTCAGAACTTTGGTAAACTGAAAAAGCCAACAAATATAGGTGGGGCAAATCCGCAGCACAGGACTCTGTCGAAGAACATGATGGGAGGCACCCGTCAATCCACAGTATTCAGTAGCAAGATGATACTTAGCTTTTAAAAGTAGGGTGTTATTGACAAATGGTTAACACTGAAATGGAGTAGGTTGTATTTCGAGTTGCAGCAAGTGGAGTGCATGATTGACATTGCTAGTATACTCAACGGACATACGAGTCGGCTTAGGAGGCGGGGTCTCGCAAAGGAATCATTGCGATAGCTGATGATCTTGATGACCTGGCAAGATTCTAGGATGGACTAGCGTAGTACGTTGTGCCGGTCACGTTTCCCCAAAAGTCAAGGAACATGGCAGAACCCGTAAATCGTCATGACGTGACTGTTGTGGTTACTTGTTCACATTCGCGGTGGCGGAGGATACTAGGGGGAGAAACAGCAAATTGAAACGGACATTGTTCTGGTGTTCACGAATTGCAGGACATTGTAGCAAAAGGATCGACCCTGATATTAAGCAGGATTATGAGAGGTTGAGTAATTGGGCAACTCGGGTTGCTACATCCTTTGAGGAAAGATTCTCGACATCTACTTGTTTCTCCACGCCACGCTCTGTTGAAGCAGAATAGAAATATTTAGCTAGAAGCATGCTAAGCAAGCATATTCATGACGCACCAAATCTCGCAAATACCCTCGCTGGTGTGCCCTTAGCTTCTCGAATCAGGATGGGGAGATCAGGGTTATGTTGCTTCAAGGTGGGATACGTTGACGAGACAAATTGCCTATAAATAAACGAAAGCGGCATTATAGTTCGAATGATTTTGGCGAACGTGGTGATGTATAAGAGGTTATACGAACCTGGTACCGGAAGAGGCTGCTCCGGACTGGCAGCACAGTATCCTGATCTCGCGGATAGCAGGCGATAGAGCCTTTGCAAAGGACGACATCCTCGAGGATTTAATGTATAGAGAACTTGGTGGAGGTTGGAAGCGTACCAGGGGGGTGCCTTCTGCCCAACATGGGAGGGGATCCTTACGTAATCACTTTCGCGCGGTCAACGTTGTCAGGCATGCAAACTGGCAGCTCGCCGTTCTCGACGACGACCACGCCCTTACAGCTCGCTGCACTGGACAGCGATGGCAGACGACCAACGACAAGAAAACTGGGCAGCCGAACGCAAGAACAGGCTGCCCACCTTCACTGAGGTTCTTGCACGACGAACTAGACCGCCTGTAGACTTGTTCATGTTCTAGTACGTTTTTACTTGCCTTGTTCTCGCTTAGCACCCCCTGACGTTTGCTTTGCCTTTTAGCTTATTCTTGCAACGTGAGGGAGCGGAAGATATTCTTGACTTTTGGCTTGACGTGCAACAGCATGAGAACCTCTGTCGCGCGTACTTCAAGGACGTCCGAAAGTCAGGTCGTACTATCCGAGAAGACTGGCCGGAATATTGGGACTATGCTCGCAGACGTGGCTCAATCTATGGTACTGTAGTCGGTTTGAATCCTCACACCGGTACAAAACGCAGTACCGCTAGCACAACAGATATGCTAGATCGTGATCAAGCAAATCTCGCAGCGACCAACATGGACGAGAAAGCTGCACGCAGCCCAAGTCCTCGTTTACAGTCCCCCGGTACCGCCGTTGCCAGTGAACCTCCTCGCTCTACTACTCCCTTCTCCTTGTCAGGCCGGACAC